TATCCATAATTAAATTCCTTTTCATATATCTCTTTCTTCATGGCAAAAAAATTCCTTGGATAGTTATGATCCTGATTATGGGTGGCCTGATTCAAGGCCCTGGATTAATCCATGGGAGGCATTATGTCAGTGTTCAACAGTATAGGATAGGTTTTGATATCAAACTTGCACTGAATTCCATCTATTTGCTAGATGTGTGTGACCTTGAGCAAAACAGTGCCTGCTCTCTTTGAGTTTACATTGTAGAGAAAAATAGACAAATAATGAAGTACTGTCAGGCACTGTTCATTACAATGGAGGAAAAATAGATCAGTACAAATAAAGAGAACTGATAGCGTAGAGTGGGAAGCACACTGTTATTTAACATAGTGTGGTTAGGAAAAGGCTTTTCTGATAAGGTCACATTGGAACAGGGAGCTGTGAAGTAGGAAGCTAACTATGTATTCCAAGCGGAGGGAATAGTCAGTACAAAGGTTCTGAAGGAGTTTATCCCATGTCTTTAAAGAATAACAGGGAGAACATTTGTGTAAAGAGGTTTGGCAAGGGAAAAAGAAGCTACATGAGATCAGAAGTATTAAAGGAGGAAAGGATCTTGTAGACCATTATATAAATGTTGTATTTGGAGAGAATTCAGAAGCCAGTGGAGAGTTTAGAGCAGATGATAAAGTTTTCTGCCTTATATTTTTAAAAGATGGCCCTGGCTGATGCGGAAAATAGATTGAAGAAGAGGCAGGGACTGAAGCAAGAGGATCAACTTAGAAGACTGTTAGCATATAATTCAGGCAAGAAGTAATAGTGGCTTCGATGAGGATGTTGTGATGATGCTGGGAAAAGTTATCAAGTTCTGAATATATTTCATAAATAGAGCCATCAGCATTTGCTGAAGGATTGAGCTCTTGGTTACTACACTATATCTTGGGTTTTTGTTTGTTTTGTTTTGTAGAAAATTCATGAGATACAAATAGAAAAAGAAATTATCTTTTGTCTTCTTTTCAGAGGTGACCACTTAAAATTATGATGCATATCCTTTTTAGTTTTTATGATGTTGTATCTGCACAGACATAGACTTGTGTACAATGCATTGTTTAAACAAACTTTATTTGTAATGAACCTTTTTCTCTATCATTAGATATTGCCCAGCATTTTAATGACAGCATACTCTTCTCTTGCGGGAGTGAGTTACAGTTTATTTGACTCCCTGTCAATATTTAGTATGCTTTCAGGTTTTTCCCTGTTTGGATAGCATTTGAGAAAGCATCCGTACATTTCTTTAAGCATATGTATGATAAGGAAAACAAATCTCCAACTACTTTTTGAGACCTGGAAATAGCCACAAGTGAGGCCTTATAAGCTCATGAAATAACATTTCTGCTTATAGTTTCTTGGCTTTATAGTTACCCTCGGGTTTCAATTTATCCCCTTTTGATTTTGATACTAATAGATAAGACTCTTTGAATTTCATACTAATATTTAGTAGGTACACTGTAATAGGAGCAAATGTGTTGTTACGTGGGCTGTTATACTAATTTCTATATTATACTCAGGAAAATAAAATCACACCTGTTGAGAGGTTGCAGCTGCTGCTGCTAAGTCGCTTCAGTCATGTCCGACTCTGTGCAACCCCATAGACGGCAGCCCACCATGCTCCTCTGTCCCTGGGATTCTCCAGGCAAGAATACCGGAGTGGGTTGCCATTTCCTTCTCCAGTGCGTGAAAGTGAAAGTGAAGTAGCTCAGTCGTGTCCGACTCTTTGCTACCCCATGGACTGTAGCCTACCAGGCCCCTCCATGCATGAGATTTTCCAGGCAAGAGTACTGGAGTGGGTTGCCATGTCCTTCTCAGCATGTGCTGCTGCTGCTGCCGCCAAGTCACTTCAGTCGGGTCCGACTCTGTGTGACCCCATAGACGGCAGCCCACCAGGCTCCCGCGTCCCTGGGATTCTCCAGGCAAGAACACTGGAGTGGGTTGCCATTTCCTTCTCCAATGTGTGAAAGTGAAAAGTGAAAGTGAAGTCGCTCAGTCGTGTCCGACTCTTGGTGCCCTCATGGACCGCAGCCTACCAGGCTCCTCCATCCATGGGATTTTCCAGGCAAGAGTACTGGAGTGGGGTGCCATTGCCTTCTCCGCAGCATGTGCTACTATATGCTGAATACTATATTGAGTCTTAAATTCAACCTTCACAGTAACTATGCAGTAAATACTATTACTACTGCCTTTTTCCTTTTTTTTTTTTTAAACATTTTAGAAAACTGAAGCTTGGTAGGGTGAAGGCAGTATAAAATCCTGGTTAAAAACAAACTCTGAAGCTAGACTGCCCAGGTTTGAATCTTGACTTAGCAGTTATTGGCTCTGTAACCTTGGGAAGTTACTAACTTCTTTGTGCTTCTTTTGTTTTTTTAATGGACATTACTTTTCTTGTTATGATTACAAAATAATGACACAATTAAAGTGTTTCTCACATTATGACAATCTGGATTCTCATCTTCCCCTCACAGCAAGGAATACAGTTTCCCTTCAATATCCTAAACTGTTTCTAAGGACCCCACACTTGCTTTGCCTTGCTTTGTTGAAGTCTTCCTTTCTGCTAGCATGGCTAACATGGCCAGCTTCTTTTCTCATTATTAAAATTTTTTTTACCCAAGCCTACAAATAACAAATGCTGGAGAGGGAGTAGAGAAAAGGGAACCTTCTTACACTGTTGGTAGGAATATAAATTGGTGCAGCCATTATGGAAAACAGTGCGGAGGTTTCCCAATAAACAAAAACTAGAGTTGCTGTATGATCCAGCAATCTCACTGCTGGGCATTTATCTGGATAAAACTATAATTCAAAAAGATGCGTGCACCCTCGTCTTCACAGCAGCACTGTTCATAATAGCCAAGACATGGAAACAACCTACATATCCATCAACAGATGAATGGATAAAGAAAATGTGGTATAAACGCACAGTGGTATAACTACTCAGCTGTAAAAAAGAATGAAATGCCATTAACAGTACCATGGATAGATCTAAAGACTGTCATACTGAGTGAAGTAAGTCAAAGACAAGTATCATATGATATAATTTATATGTGGGCTCTAAAATATGACACAAAGGAACCTATCTATGAAACAGAAACATACTCAAAGAGAACAGACTTGCAGTTGCCAAGGGAGGGAAAGGAGTCTGGAGTTAGCAGTTGCAAACTATTATACATGGAATGGGTAAACAAGGTTCTATCATATAGCACAGGTAACTAAAATCAATATTCTATGATAAACCATAATGGAAAATAGGGGAAAAAAATTTATGTATATAACTGAGTCACTTTGCTGTAAAGCAGAAATTGCAAGTCAACTATATCTCAAGTTAAAACAATTTTTAAAAATTCCTTATCTTAAAAGTATGGTCCCCAGTTTCCAGAATGTGATTAGTAAGTATCATTTCTCATTCAAGGAACTAAGTTTCCCTGGAGATAATAGACTGGCTGAATCCACAATTAAGGCAGGAAATGTACAAACTTATCCTGAAATATTGTGTCCAAAAAACAAGTAAACTATCAAAAACTGTAAGGGTCAAGGGGGAAAAAAAGGAAAGCCGCTTGAGACTACCATTAGCTAAATACAAGACAATTTGAGTATTAATAAAGGCAAACAGTTGGAAAACATAAAATATATGAAACCTAATTTACAATAATGCTAAAAATAATCCAGTTGTTACATCCGGAAGATATTAAGAAACTAGTTTACTATTCTAAAAATTGGTAAAGAAAAATAAAGAAAGAACCAGGCATTTATACTCTTTGCCTCCTATGAACCATACCTCAGGTTAACCAAAATGATTATGTGACAAAGTTCTGCACAGGAGAATTCCAGGTAACAAAGAAATGACAGAAGGCTACATTTCCCAACCTCTAATAAAATAATGGAACCAAGTCATGACCATCAATAGCTGCTAAAACCACTAGAGGAAAGTCTAATGGAGAAATTAAAGGATAGATCAGGCTGACAATACCTGAGCCCACTAATTTATCTTAACATAATAACAAGAGAGCCAGCTGAAAATTGGCATTCTCACAAATAAACAAGACAAAACAAGTGAAGAAAAGAAAACACAAACCAGAGTTTAATCTAGCCTCTTTAGAAAATCCAGATAGAGGAATTATGCCACACAACACCATATGGAAATCTCTGTAAGACAAATGGCCTAGTTTCTTCAATAATAAATGAGAAAGAAGTGTGGGGCTATGGAGAGAAATCCATGACTTAACGAATTTTATATTAAACAAATGTAATGTGCAGACTCTGAAAAAAAATACTTAGGATTAAAAAATATGAATCAGCTTGGGAAATTTGAACTCATGACTTGCTATTAAGAAATCATTGGGACTTCCCCCTGGTCCAGTGGTTAAGAATCTGGCTTGCAATGCAGGGGCGTGGGTTCAATCCCTGGTTAGGGAACTAGGATGCGATCCCTGGTCAAGGAACTAAGATCCCACACGTCACAGAGCAACTAAGCCAGCAGGCCACCACTACTGAAGCCTGCATGCCACAAGAGAGTCTGTTCACTGCAATGAAAGATTCCACACGATGTGACTCAGACCTGACGGAGCCAAATAACAAATGAAAAAAAGGAAGAAAGGAAGTATTAGTTGTCATGGAGTGATAATGGTATCATGGTTTTGGGATGGGATGAAGGGTCTGTTGTTTCAGAGAAAAACCAAAGCAGTCACAGAAGAAATTAAATAATATAAGCAGTGTACATAGGAAGGTAACAGACACAATAAGGTCTGGCTGTGTTCATAATTAAGTTGGTGACTAGTGCATGAAGCTGGGAGGTCAGAGAGGTTGCAGATACATTTTTAAATATTTTTCACCGTCTTCATTTGTAAATAAGAATTCTAAGAATGTTAGTGAGCCAGTTTTTAATAGTCATTAATACTCACTGTATTTAAGATTTTCATGACCTGTGTTTAGGTAGAGTAATGCTTCTTTCTTTTCTTTCTTTGGTCTTTGTGTAGATTGCTTCTATCTTTGCTTTTGCTACCTGTGGAGGTTTTAAGGGCAAAACAGAAATTCAAGTGTCTTGTGATAAAGGTGCTGAGAATAAAACGATTACAGCTACTTTTGGTTATCCATTCAGGTAAGTTTGCTTTTGGGGTTTAACAACTCTTTTCACTCATTAAGATTTCCCAACAACTTATTGATCTTGGGAGTTAGACATTTTTAATTTCATGCTCATTTGTAAGTAGTGATCATTGTTACTGAAAGTATGGTGTGTGGACCAGTGCCTATCTGCAGACTGTTTTCCTGAACTGTGATGAAATAAATACAGAAAATGACAGTAAGCATTGAGAAACTTTCATATGACATTGCCTTGACACTTTTATTCTGTCATCCCACAGTGGATTGGAAATTTCAAAAGAAGACTGCTCTGTCACCTTAGTTTGAGAAGCCATGTTGTAGAAGCAAACACAGCTTATGAAAAATCCAACTTTCTCATGTATTTGCAGTTACTAATGTGCAATGTATAGCTTTAAGACATGGATTTATATAAAGTGAAGAGTTCCTATGTTTCTTTCAGCAGCATAAAACTTTATTTTCTGAATATTTATGGCTATTTTGTTCTGTTTGACCTCAGTATTCATTAAATGTTTACTCCATCTGTCCTGTGTTTAAGTAAGGGTGTGAATCTTTCCCCGCTTACTGGCTACTTACTTAATTCTCTAGACTCAGTTTTTCTGTCAATGAATTTAAACCATTTAAGGTTGCTTTGATGATTAAATAAAATCTTACATTAAAGATATGTCAGATAGCAAGTGCTTCGTAATCAATCTTTGCCTCTCTATCTCTCAGTCCTCTTATAAAGTTATAGCATCTTTAGTGATAAGTGCTTTTGTGATTTATGGATAGAGAAAATTAAAGACTTTGTGGAGTTAGCTAATTAGTGAGAGTTAAAATGTGAATCATTATAATTGACTCTCCTGATGCTAGTCACACAGACTCTGCCTCCTAGAATGGAATACAGTTTCTCAAATTGTAAACCATTTTGTAACAGTGCTATTAATCTGCTAAGTTTTTGTTACAGGAAGATATTATCTGGGTGTGAAAGTGTTTAATTCAGTCTGTATTCAGTCTATCATAAGCCAAGTATCAGGTGTAATATATGATTTATATACTTATGAAAATTTTAATTTACTTAAATATTTGAATTTTTCTCTTTTTTTTTAAAAGGAAAGTGTTTAATATATTTTGGGAGTATATTTTACTTAAATATTCTGCCTATGTGTTTCTTTTAGAAGAGTCCAAGTAATTCATAAATTTGTTTGTGCCTTTTTTTTAATAGGTTGAATGAAGCATCATTTCAGTCACCTCAAGGTGTAAATGTCTGTCATGTAGATTGGAAAAATTATGTCCTTATTGGAGATTACTCCTCTTCCTCGCAGTTCTATGTTACTTTTGCAGTCTTTGTCTTCCTGTACTGCATTGCTGCTCTTCTCCTCTATGTTGGTTACACAAACCTGTATCGTGATAATCGAAAGCTTCCCATGACTGTAAGTAATCACTTTCTTTTTATACAAAAATAATTTATGTAGGTATATATTACATTTGAATTTAAATATGGATTTTCTTACACTGGGAAAAAAACTCTTGGCGTAAACCAGTTTCAACATGTCTTGACTTCTGCACGAGTTTATGCTTGCACTTGTCATGTTTAACCCAATTCTTGTAGCCTGTTGGCAACACTTCCTCTGTGCTCCTTATACAGAGAGAGGTTTGTTTGTATCTAACTCTATTTTAACCTGGAAAGAGCTCGAATATGGGACAAAGCATATTAGGTTGCAAATAGCAGGGAAATTAAATAGAAATTAATGTATTTGATTTGAAGAATTGCTAACAATGCTAGTAGTCTGATAACTGTTTTCCTGTTTTTTATTTTTTTTCTCTTTTCTCAGAGATATCCCCTTTATGCCTGACACCTGGTCTATATTCTTAAATTCTTTACTTTAAATTCTGACCAAGGTAATTCTATAAAAGTTATAGAATTTGGCATTAGTGGCATTCATGAGCTAATTCTGAATCTTTAAGATGGCAACAAAGGATTTGGATTTGAAGTCCTAATACCTTTTTTGGCTTCAGGGTCTACTGAGCTAGAAATAAAAATAATCTCTGAGATTTAGTTAGTAGAATTCCCCTAGATTGTTGGCGGCAAATCCAGAGATAAACTGTAGTTTTAAAATGGACGTCCACTACCAAAGAATAACTATGAAGTCCGTATTGGTGTTACTGCTTTGAAGGGACAACAGAGATGTTTTCCTGATACTGGTCGTTGATATCCTAAGAAAACAGTAACTGCTAACATTTACTTATTATTTGTGAAGTTGCTTTAAAGGATAGGTCAAATTATTGAATAACAGGTTTTATTTATCTACTTATTTATTTTTAATTTTTGCTGCCTGGATCATAAGAATGCAGATGGTAAGTAAGTAATAAAACAGTATTTTATCCATCATATTTATTTCATTTCATGTATCTGAGAAGAAATTCTCAAACCTGATATTTTTATAAAACATTTCTTGGTTGTTAAGTGACTTTCAAAAGATAGACATCAGCCATTTTAATTTGCAGTACTTAATAGAAATTTCATGTTAGTAATCTGTAACTTCTGTGGACTTTTCAAGCCTTATTTATATTTTGTTAAAGTTCTTTATAGATTAAATTCTAAATGAAGATATTTCTTGCCATCTTGTCATTATCCCAACAAATTTTAAGTTAAATTTAGCAATGAACCTTTTATTTCTCTTACTTTGTTTATTAAGCCTTAAAAATATGACAGTTTTTTTTTTCATTTATTAGTTGGAGGCTAATTACTTTACAGTATTGTAGTGGTTTTTGCCATACATTGACATGAATCAGCCATGGATTTACATGTGTTCCCCATCCCGATCCCCCCTCCCGCCTCCCTCCCCATCCCATCCCTCTGGGTCTTCCCAGTGCACCAGCCCTGAGCACTTGTCTCACACATCCAACCTGGGCTAGTGATCTGTTTCACCCTTGATACATGACAGTTTTTAAAGCAGCATTCAAATCTGCTTTGGAGGAGGCTTTTTCTGCCTAATAAAACTATAAAACTGATTTAGTTGTATCATTCAGAAAAGTCAAAAATAATTTTTCACCTCAGAGTGATCATATAGAGAAATAATAATGGTACTATAGAGACATAATCCAGAATTAGTTCTGTAAGTGTTTTTTTGTTCATACAGTGTATGAACAGTGTATGATGGATACTTCTTATTTGTAAAAGTCCAGCTTCTAAATTAAATTTTGGATTTTACTTTAACCATATAAATGTAAAAAAAATTTTTGTGATGCCTAAAATTTTAACTATAGCCAAACATGACATGAATTTTTTTTAAGTACCATTTGTTAATGACTTGTGCTCTTTCATCAGTGTTCTCAATTCTCTGCTAAGATATCTCTAGGAGAATTTCAATTGTGACATTTTAAAATCAAACTTAGTTTTTAAATAAATTCAGCACATTTTTGTGCTAAATAGTGAGAGCTTAAGGGTTCTAGGCTGTGTGGAGGATCAGAAATACCATAAAATGAAACCAAACAAAGATAGGATATCCCAAATCCTAAAGCTCTGTTATGAATTATATCCTTCTTATTGGTAGCACTAGGGCTGCCACAGGCATGTTGTGCATTGCATAATTCCAGGTGGCATTGTTCAGGTAGAACTAGCTAGAGTCCTGAGTCACATGGAGTGTCTTCAGAGGCCTCATTTCTCCCACTTCCCCTCATTCTAAGATTACTTCATGCATCATTGTCAGAAAAGAACCTGCTTTTGAAATATAAAAATGTCATCCTAAGCCTTTAATAGCTTGGACATAAAGAACATAATCAGGAAAAAAAAAATTTGTGGTTTTTTTATTAGGAATTTGGAAGGAAGAAACCTTAAAATTAAGATTTGACATCTGTTGGTCAAAATGATGAACTTTAGCCCAGAGAGAATTTAACATGTGATAATCTCATACTAATTACCAGCTCTTTCTAGCAAGTGCTTAGAAAACATTTGCCACAGCACAAAATACAGCAGAGTACAGCAGCAAAAAGGCGAGTACTCCCACAGTGCAAAACACTTAACGTTGCTATTCTTTTCTCTTTGGTACACATTTTTTAAAGAGCAGTAGCAGTGGAGGGCTTAAGTGCCAATACTGTGCCGCCATGCTTGTAACAGGAGTCATTGTTCGCCAGTGCAAGGTTACTCAGCGCCAGTGTGACTGGGCGGGCAGGGCATATATAACAGCTTCTGTATCTCACATGTGGTCGCTGGCATTTATCTGAGGTAAATGACTAAAAGTTCACTGGCAGAAGTAGCTTAAAACTAGCCAGATTCATTGAAAAAAAATTCTGTGATAAGCTCCAAAACGCATCTCTGAGCTTGGAGAGCTTTTTGCTGCAGATAGTGAGAACTCATAGTCTTGAGCACACCTGAATGCTCAGAATACATCATTAAAAGACACAAATCTTACATTGTTCCCACTTCGGTTGTTAATGTAAAGGAAGACCAAAGGAGATGGCAACTTACACTTTATACTGTCCAAATACATACTTTAAAAAAGTGTTACTTAGATTTGTATAGCCAGTACTAGTCGACAGAGTTCTAGTTCCCCAGCAAAATAGATTAAGGAGAGTAAATTTTTTTCTTACTAGTTCAATAAGAAATTGTCCAAAATATTAAAAATTCACTTCTATTCTTGAGCTGTAATAAGTAGTAAACACTTAGTAGAAAACTGGTAGTGACAGGGTGTTTTGAGAGAGATTTTGTTGTTGTTGTTCTTAATACAATGAGCATTCTTAAAATTTTGTAGTCATGAGTTTAAAAAGAGACAAGTCATCCTGGATGTGTGCTTTTCACCATCTCGCTGTTCATATCATAGAGCGTTAGATTTAACTAAAACTAGAGGTTTGCCAGAACAACATGAGAAGGCAGGGGAGGGTAAGAGAATTGAGAGTATTTGTAAGGGATCATAGTGGAGAACCTTAGAATCTTAAGTCGAGGGAAATGGAGATCAGATTGTAGATCTCAGTGGGGTCAAAGGAGTTTTAAGGTTGGGGTGCCAAAGAGAATGGGCTAGAAAGAGAGGTGATATTTGAGAGGGGTGATTCAAACAGAGATTATGGAGGTATACAGTTATTGGTGACAACAGAGTCCGATATTTGATCCCAAAGAGGGAGAGGCTTAGCTTAGTAAGATAAGGTTGTGATGAGGGCTTTATAAAACTTCTGATTTCTCCATGTAAAAATCTTAGACTCTTCAGAAGATGACAGTTGTAGCACAGGCACTGCCCTGACAGTAGTAAACAGTAGTGTTTGCTGCGTTGATTGTGGCCCTTTTTTTATAGAGTATGTCATTTCTCTATTTCTCTATGAGAAACTCTCTATGAGAGTTCAACATGGTTTCCTTGGTGGCGGATTTGAAATTTTGTATCTTTAAGTATTCATTATTAATTCATACTTATTTTTGCTTTAGGACTTTGTAATTACTATTGTTGCGACTTTTTTGTGGTTGGTGAGCACTTCAGCCTGGGCTAAAGCTCTTACAGATATTAAAACAGCTACTGGTCCCAGCATTGTCCAGGAGCTTAAGCATTGTAGTGTTCAAGGAACGTTGTGCCAGTTCGTCTCTGTGACGAGTATGGGGTCCCTAAACGTATCTGTGGTGAGTATGCAGTGTTTATAAAATAATTTATTTCACTTACTAGAAAAACCTTACAGTGACTTAGGAAAACAATAGTTTTAATAGATCCCTGGATGAATATGTTGATTTTATCTTTACCAAGCTTATCAGAATCCTAGTTATCATATAGTCTTTATAACAGCAAAAAAAATTTATGAAGAAAATTATTACTTGTAAACAAGCTTAGACAAGATCATGGTTACGTTTTTATTAACATTAACTAGGCAAGACTTTGACCCTAAAGGCTCTAATATAACATTTGTTAAGACTGTGTGCTAAGGTCATTACACATATGTCAATTCTGAGAGGAATGTGGGAAGTGGTGTTACTATCTTCATTTATAACTGGCAAAGAATATAGCTTGTATGTTAAATCACTTAAGGTGACAGGGCAGGTAAGTTGGCAAAGCCAAGGTTTGAACCAGATCTGGCTTCTGTTGTTACTGTTTAGTCCCTAAGTCATGTCTGACTCTTTGTGACCCCATGAACTGTCCTCTGTCCATGGACATTAGCCCTTTCTCTAATTTGATTTGCTCTGGGTCTCTGAAAATAGTACTTTCATAGTTCCTTAAATAATCCTAAAATTTTGGCCTCTAAATTTAAATATTATTTTGTCTGGTGTTTTATCCAAATACAGATATATTATTAATATAATGAGGGTATTACTTTTAAGGAGATTTCATGTCTTTTCAAGAAAGTATTTTTCCAGTGGATAAAGTTGGTCTTGCCTTACAAAGCAATTTGGCCAAATTTTTGTTTTAAAAGTCTTTTTTTTTCCTCCATATATATTGATGGTGAGCTGATATATTTTCAGAAGTGTTTTTATACCCAAATAATACAAAAGATAGAAGAAAGCAGTTTGGGGCTTCCCTGGTAGCTCATTGGTAAAGAGCCCACTTGCCAGTGCAGGAGACTCAGGTTCCATCCCTGGGTCGGGAAGGTCCCCTGAAGGAGGAAATGGCAACCCGGTCCAGTGTTCTTGCTGGGAAATGCCATGGACAGAGGAGCATGGCGGGCTACAGCCCATGGCGTGGCGAAACTCGACTTAGCGACTAAACAACAACAGCACAAGTACCCAAGCTTTTTACCCTACTCTTACCTCATAGGTCAATACTATTCTTGTCTTTATTTAAAAAAAAACAAAAATACTGTGAAAATAGGATATCTTCAGTTCCTTCATCTCTGAGACTTTGAACTTTCAGATTTGTACCTGGGAAGGCTGATTTCTTTTAGGTTGATGATTACAGGATGTGACATAACGTTTTCTTCCATGACTTCTTTTCTCTTGTGGCTGCAGCTGTGGAAGCAAAGGTGATGGTAGGAGGGGGATGAAGTAGGGAAGTAGGGAAAGGTGCACAAAGGATGTTTATAACCACTCAGATGGGAGAAAGTAAAACCCCTCCTAGTTAAGGAACCGTGGATTCCTGTTGTTCTCTTCACCTGAAGCCACTAGAGTCTAAATATAAAGTAGTAAAAGGAAGGTCTTACTTTTCTCAAACAAATTTAGTTCCTTTTTTTAATTGGTAATAATGCACATGTAAAAATAAATATCTTTTAGTCATGATTTGATATGTTACAGATTTAGAGATTTCACTGGGAATAAGGCATTACACATCCAAATTGGGCATTGACATACAGAGTCTTTCTTTTTTATTCCACTTGATGTATAGTTCAGACTTCAAATGAAATGATGGTATATGGCCTGGAAATATTAGATATTTATAGGAAAACTAAGATAGGTATGAAATTTTAATAGTAAACTAGATTTTCATGTTTGTTTTTCTCTTTCTTAGATCTTTGGCTTTCTGAATATGATACTTTGGGGAGGAAATGCCTGGTTTGTGTACAAGGAGACCAGCTTTCACAGTCCATCAAATACCACTTCTCAAGGAGGTATTCCTCCTCCAACTGGAATATAATTGAAGGGAGAAGTACACTGTATGAAATAAATGTCTGTACTATGACCTGTTGCCAACACCTTGAGAAGCATTTTTTGTTTCTAATAAAAGTAATGGCTTTTTCAGTAAATTGGTGGGTTTAAAATTTTGCTGCTTTTTTACATAAAGCTTGTGCCTTTCCTAGAAATTTAAGATGTAAATGTATTCTCACATGTGAATTTGAAAATTCAGGGGCCTATTATGAGATGATACACATTTTTAAATGAACGGTAATTTCTTCACTAAGTTGTTTTCCTTCCGAACTGTTTACACCTTAAGCCTTAACATATATCTTCACTCAGAAAAGAGTTTTATTGTCATATCATAATAGGAGGAAAATCTGTTTTGGAATATACACTACTGTAAGTTTGTACAGATCATATTCCCAAGACCTGTCTTTGTTTAAGAAAGTCTTGATTACATAAATCATATTTAGAAAAAACATTTAGTTAACAGTTTATATCTGAACATTGTTTATATGTTATGAAAAATGCTTAATTACAAAGACTGATGTATGTTTTATTTCTGTTTTTCTAAATGACCTACAGTACTTGGTAGGTGTACTAAAATTGTTTGGGGAGTGGGGTTTAGAGATTTCTAATAGATGTAGAGTTAATTTGATAATTCTCTCGCATGAGGTGTAAGCTTCCATATGCTGGTGATTTAATAGATTTGCTACGTAAGTAAAACCCGGTTCACCTAGACACTTTGACATGTATGGGCATTACTCCTGGTGGTATTTGTTTGCTGTCTTTTGTTGCTTGTGCTCCTTCAGTGCAGGCTGAGACCTAGTCTCCTGCAAGTAGAGTTAAATAATCTACCTTTTTTTGCAGACCCTATTCATAGGATAAAAAAATTAAGATTGCCTTTTACTTTTGAAACATTTATATTCAATGAAGTTGCTGTCTTGAGTTTAGTATTGATATTGTGAAAATGAATGCAATTTGGATTTCACATTTCTTAATGTTTGTTCTTATTTCACAAATGGATAATTAAGGAATTATGCATCGTAAAGAAGGAACCTAAGTGAGCTATATTATGGGTGTGCTGTCTTTGCTCACACATTTGGATAGCTTCTGGAATATAGGGCTTATTCACGTTTTGCTTCCTAATCTTTCTGTTGTACAGGGCCAGATCTCCTCTTAGCCACATGATTATTTTTATGTGAAGCACATCTTATATTGCCTTATTTTGGTTGCTTTTGTTCACAAGAATTGTTAATATGAGAATGTGTATCCACCTTAATAAAGAAGTTAAAATAAAGAATGCACTGATTGTTATATTATAAAGAAACTTTCATCTTAAAGGCATGAGCAGTATAAAATAGAATTGATTTACAAAGCAATAAATAGAATATTACAGTAGTTTTGTTTGTTTAATGTTTGGCAAGGAATAAAAAATGCTTTGGAGACCCTGGTTCTATTTTTCTTTCAATCTCATTTTTAAAATGCTTATTTGTAACTTTCAGGTTGAGTTTTACTGATAAAGCTTTTCTAATTGACTGTCCAGTTGGCAGCAAAGATTCTTAATTAAAAGTGTATGCTTTGGAGCCAAACTGCCTGAATTTGAATCTTGGCTTCACCACCTACTAGCTCATTGTTGGCTCAGTCTTGTCTGATGTTTGCGACCCCATGGACTGTAGCCTGCCAGACACCTCTGTCAACGGGATTATCCCAGCGAGAATACTGTAGTAGATTGCCATTTCCTACTCCAGGGGATCTTTCCAACCCAGGGATTGAACCCCTGTGTCTTGCAGCTCCTGCATTGGCAGGCAGATTCTTTACCTTTAGGCAAATTACTTACTTCTGTGTGCTTCAGCTTGCTTATCTGAAAAATGAGAGTAAGAATGCTGACCTCAAAGAGTTTTAAGTCAATGGCATTAAATGTTAATAAATAATGAGATCATAGATCTAGGAAAAGGTGCATTCTGTTGCCTTTCACTCTCTGATTTTGAGTCAGTGTTACAGGGTTAAGATTTTTAGGATAATTTCCAGTACAGAAGCGATAAAAGCTTCGCCTTACCAGGTGATAGGTTGCAAAGAATTTTTTATAAACAGCATTATTACCAATGTTTTTGTGAATTGAAGTCACTTGAATAAAGATATGCTATAAATGTTAAGGTCAGTTGCTTGCTATATACTTTGTTTCACGTTTAATTGAAAAATTTAAAGTCATGTAGCATTTAAGATAAGTATGGGCTTTCTGGGTGGCTCAGACGGTAAAGAATCTGCCTGTAGCACTGGAGACCTGGGTTCGATCCCTAGGTTCAATCCCTAGGTTGGGTCAGGAAGATCCCCTGGAGAAGGGAATGACAACCCACCCCAATATACTTGCCTGGAAAATACCGTGGACAGAGGAGCCTGGCTGGCTAAGGTCTATGGGGTTGCAAAGAGTCGGACATAACTGAGCGACTAACACTTTAAGATAAGCATAAGAAATAGTATAGAACCAAGTTTCTACCACTAAGGAAAACAAATATTAACATTTTGTTTTATTTATGTCAGATCTGGTTTTGTCTTTTGAAGGAAATAAAGCATTATAGATACAGCCTTTTCCTTGCTGAAGTAGGTTTTTCTTTTCACTATTACAGATAGCACTGAAATATTTTTGCAAAATATGTGAAGGCTTCTCTAGGATATACCACTAGAAGTAGAATAGCTGGCATGTGAAGTATTCACATTTTCAGTTGTAACTTAGGTAGTAAAAATTGCTCAATAAGGTGCGAGTGTGGTGTCAGTTTAGTCTCCCACTAACAATATGTAAGAGTCCCTGTTGCCTGTATTCTCGCCCTTGCTTGATGCTTGATGTTGGACTGTTGCCATTCTAATGGGTTTGTGATACTGTTTGATATTTTTGAATTTGTGTTTCTCAGATTGCAATTGAGGTTGGCTGTCCTTTCCTGTGTTTATTGGTCACTTAGGTTTGCTCTGTATCGCCTGTTCATATCCTTTGCCAATTTTTCTATTTTGTCTTTTTCCTATTGATGTGAGGTGCTCTTTATTCTGGATACTAATCCTTTGGCATTTATGTAGATTGCAACTGTCTTCTTCCTCTCCGTAGCTTGTATTTTCACTCTGTGATTTGTCATACAAAAGTTTGTCTTAATACTGACTTAACTGTCTTCATGGTGGTGCTTTTTGTGTCTTAAAAAGCCCTTCTCACTATCATAAAGATATTCACCCCTCTTTTCTTGAGAATATGTTAGTTTTGTTTTTCACTTTTAGGTCTTTAAACCATTGGGAGTATATTTTTGTATATAGTATAAGGTAGGGATTTAATTTTGATTTTTTAAATACTCCCAATTTTCATGGTACCTATTTAAAAGTTCATCTTTTGTTCCTTCTGTCGTATATCATTCCTGTATTATTTGTAGCTTTTTACATTCTATACCAATCCATGTCAGCCCTGTCACCCTTTAATTACGCAGCTTTACAGAAAGAACTGCCATCCGAGAGGATGAGTGCCAAAGCGCCATCATCGTCATCACAGTCGTCTTGACTGTCGTGAGCCCTGTACCCTTGCATGTAAACTTTAGGATGAGCTGGTCAAGTTCCGAAAAACCTTTGGGGTTTCAGTTGAAAAAACTGAAATATATATATCAGTTTTGGAGAATTGTCATATTTATAAAATACATTTATGAGCATGGTCTATGTCTCCTTTTATGTCCTTCAATAAAGTTATAATTTTCTGCGTAAAGATTTAGATTGACATTTGTATCTTGTAGCCCTGGTTACTATTGTACATAGTAACACTTAAGTTATGTTCTAAATTAAATTGTAATTTTTATTGCTGGTGTACAGGATTTCTCTATTATTTATTGACTTTATTCATTTTTCTACAAGGCAGTATTCCTAAATCATGTGTATGTGTGTGTGTGTGTATGCTCATTTGCTAAGTCTTGTCCAACTCTTGCAATCTAATGGACTGTAGCCCGCCAAGCTCCTCTGTCCATGGAATTTTCCTGGCAAAAATACTGGATCAGGTTGCCATTTCCTGCTCCAGGGATCTTCCCCGACCCAGGGATTGAACCTACATCTCTTGCATCCCCTGCATTTACAGGCACGTTCTTTTACCCCTCACCACCTCTAAACCTGTTGGTAATTTTAATAATTTGTAGGTTCCTCTACTTTTTGTATAGATAATTATATCATCTGCAAACTGATAGTTTTGTTTTTTCATTATGTTTGGAAATTAGAGTAAATCTTTATTATCTTTAATTATAGTTATATTATGCTTGTCATTGGAGTCTATGAAAAATAGAAAATATGCTTATTTGAAAATACAGTTGCTGCCATTTTGCTTCAGTAAACAACCACGGATTTACACCACCTTGTATATTGGTCATTCTAGTGATATGTAAAATTTGGTCAATATTAATAGTTCTTACATTGTGGAACAGACAAATAAATGGAAAATAGTTACCAGTTAAAATTAAAGTGATTGGGGAAAAAAATGATTAATACTATTATATAATTTACAATATTATCATAAGGAATCTATTTCCTACTGTTTGAATTTGGATTTTACTTGTATAAGAACAGTAATTGCAAGTGAAACCTTACTTGCTAGTCAAATTTGAAAAATTTAGCTGTTCAGTTTTTTTTTTTTTTCTTTGCTGTGCCACACAGCATATAGAATCTAGCTCCTTGACCAGGGATCCATCCCACACCCGTTGGAATGGAAGCAGGGAGTCGTAACCAGTGGTCTCATGCTCCATGATAATCGCTCTTACCCATCTATTCCCCAGCAGTTAATGATCTTTCTATTAGTTTACATTTTTTAAAGTTGTATGTAAATAGAGTCATAGAATAAGTATCCTTCTTGTTAGACTTCTTTCACTCAGCATAATTATTTTCAGATCTGTGTTGCATATATCAACAACTTATTCCTTTTTATAGCTATTACACACAGTGTGTGGATATACCACATACGGTTTATACCTTCACCAGCTGGTAGATAACTTGGGCTGTTGCCAGTTTGGG